CCTCCTCCTCCTCCTCCTCCTCCTCCTCTTCCTCCTCCTCCTCCTCTACCATCACCATCGCCACCATCACCACCACCACCACCATCACCGCAGTAGTTGCCGCCTCCAACACTGCCACCTGAGAACAAAGGCGACATTTCTTTCATTCGTCTCCATGTCTTCCCTCCTGACAATCACGCAATCGACACTTTGGATACACTACCACCACACCACACCACACCACAACACCACAGCACACCACACCAAACATGCAACACTTACAGCAATGCACAACCTCATCGGTTGGTACGATAGCACAATTGGAAGGAAAAGTTGCTTTAATCATCACCACTGTAGATGCCGCCTCCACTTCCTCATCTCCTCCACACTGACAACTGAGACATGATCGCCTCTCCCAATTGGCGCATCCTCCAGCACCTTCCTTCATTGCCTCCTTTTGTTTCGTCTCCACCCTACTCAGCTCCTGCAACAATGAAAGCGCTGGTGACAGCTTGGCTTCCGCCCCTTACCCTCTTTGTTGCACATTCAATCTATTTGTAAAGTGTAGGTGGTGCACTTCTCTCTTCTTTTTTTTATAACATGAGTTTTCTGCGCGCTTTGTATGATAGGTCAGTTATTCAGGCTCCCCGTTTCATCAGTTCTCCAATCGAATTTGCCTGTCAGCCAGACGTATGCAAACACGCACGCATAAACATGCAAGCAGAGAGAGAGCGGGAGAGAACGAGAGGTAATGAGTCATTTATGACATTTGATTTATTACATCTTTGCATCTTGCAATTGCCATCGAATCATTCCATTCTTTAAGTCTTCTATCAATGCTTTTACTGCATTGCTTATACTACTTATTTCAGTGTCATGATCGTTCTTATCTTGGGACTTTATACCATCAGCTTGCATTACAAATGAGTGTTCGCCAAAAATATATAACTTTTTAACATTTTTAGCTCTTCTGGAGATTACTTTTATCTTCTCCTTTTATTTGCAGCATTGGTTTTGCAAAATTTGTAACCGCATAGCAAAAATGCCCTATTAATCATTTATCTCCTTTGAGTAATTTCTTACTTTGTATGTGACTTTTTGCCTAACCTGGATCACTACTTGTGATCAAGTAAAACTTAGAATCTTCCCAAAGTGCCCTTAGAAGTGGCTTTAAAGTTATCAAAAACTTCTCCCCACATTCACTTTGTTACACGTTCCAAAGGTCACTTTTCGTCATATTCAACAGGCACTAAATCAGCACACTGACTAACTGAGTCGTCATAGTGCACGCTAAGCATTCACCTTTGGTTCCAGTTTAGACAGGAGTTGGATTGAATACAAAGAACTGTCGCCCTCTGTTAAAGCTAATTCAGCCAATAGGAAATGGCGAAGCGTCCCAATTTCTGATTGGCTAGTTGGTTAACATCGATCGACCCTGAGTAGCATCCACCCCGAGTGACAATTAGTTAATTTTTCATGTTTAAAATGACCAAAATTGAAATCTTCACTTAAATTAGAACTCTAGATCACAACAGGGCATTAAATGGTGTACCAATTGCCAATGAAGATGTTGATAAGTAAACAAGGTTGCAGAAAGAATTATTAATGCGTGCCTAGAAAGTTGGTGGGATTTTTGTACACCTTGGTTGTAACTTTGAGAATTTGTTAGGTGCTTGCCACTGTTTATGTGCATGATAGCGTGAAGACACGGAGTTATACGTTATCACGCCCATCTATCATCGTATAATTGTAAGCGCTCACATCAACATTTGTCCAGTAAAGATGGTAGATGTGACTCAGGCTAAGTCCTTCTTCCAACTCGGCTATCAAACGCATTTAAAGCCTCAACCTCGTCTTTCGTAAATCGCTGTGCACTCAAAAAAGCATCAATTTGCCATAAATTTTGCCTAAATGAACAATTTGGCTAAATGTATGGAGTATTCAGTGTGGGAGAAGACGGCGAAGGAAGAAGAGAAGTTTAAGGAGGAGGCTGACCACAGAAGGTGTCACTTCCTCCTCACCAATGTCTCACAATTGACTCACACTTAAGAGACTGCTTTAAAAACACAAAAAAAGCAAGGCTCAAGTTTTTTTTTTTTTATTATTCGTCTACTTCCATCTCCTGACCTCGCATCAAAGTCCACCCGCCTCTACCCTTTCTTTTTTTCACCTACCTGACCTGAAAAACAAAAAAAAAGTGTTTGCATAACAATGTGGGTTGCTTATGCATTTAAGCTACAAAGTTGCCGCTCTCACGGTGCAAAATTTACGAGGAGCGTTGAACATCACCAACAAAAGTGACGCCAACACAGCGACTGTCCACATCCAACAGCGGCCACAGATCGTCACCCCTCATGCATGACACGAGCCATGAAGCGTCAAGCCCTGCTAACCTGAGTGAAGTGAGTGGTATTGTGAAGACAGGCATAAAAATGTAGAGTGTGGAAGTTGTTGTACTGTTTATTGGAAAATTCACTCACTTGTTTATGTGAATGTGTTGCCGCCTTAAAGGGCAAATTCACTGATGCAACCTGTTCAGGCTTAAACATCATGTGTTTGATGGCATTTAGCATCGAACAAACAATGTGATAGGGCATGGTGTAGTCCAAATTGGCAATTTTTCCCCAATAAGGCATACAAAAGTAAAACTGCTGAGGTGAGATTGGTAGGGACAGTGTGGAACTGGAACAAGTTGTTTCAACAGTCATGAAACTCTGCAAAGGAATGAACTGCATCTCAAGGCTTTGCATTGTTGACTGCAATGAGCATCATTTTGAAAGCCATAAATGACTTGTAGAAGATATGATTGGAAAGTCTTTCACTCGGCTAGGGTATTCTTCGCTTTCGTGGACGAGAGGAGGCTTGAGACTACTTTTTTGCACAGGAGGTAGAAATGGGTGGTGGGAAATTAGGTGGTGGCTTGTAAACAAAATTGTCTACGATGATTCATCATGACATTTCAACAGTCTGTAAACCTCTCTAAAGATTCAAAAGGTGCAAATGGAATACATTTTGACAAAGAGGTTTCATGAAGTAGTTTTTCGATTTTCATAACATCTCAATCGTCGCCACAATGGACAGCGTCGCCTTTAACTCGCATCATCGGCCAGTTAATGCGTAGATGAGACGAGGGAGAGGAAACTCCCACCAAACCAATTTTTAATTTTACTCACACTTGTAATAACCCAGAAGCGTGATAAAAAAATCTCTCCCTTGACCGGTAGTGGGTAATTAAGGTCAATGGTGGGGTCATCGGGGCAGCAGCAACACGCGGTTGCTAAGGCCATCTAATGCAGCCCGAGGTCACATCACCTTCGCCGAATGAGTCAACGTGGCGCCATGGCAAGGACAATAGTGCTGACAGCAAAAGAAAAAAAAATAAAATAAACGTTGACAAGATTAATGTAATTGTCTTTGCCTTTTGCCCCTAAGACATGACCGATTGGGAGGTAATCAGAACAGCAGTATTGGCGAGACGAGAGAAGGAAGGGGAATGAGATGACATGGAGGAGATTAATTGTGGATGAAATGGTGCAGTTGGAATGTACGTGAAAAGTGATATTTTGTGAAACAAATATAACAAGCATGACGCTATTTCTCTCATGTCATTTACGTCGTTGTACATGTGTGTGCGTGTGCATCATTGAAGCTCAAATTTGATTGGTCAGAGAAGAAGGGGTAAATTATGATTGCAGAATATTACTTTGTATTTGAAAAGAGGGAAACACGCAACATACAAGTCAGTTGGATTGAATCACATGTCCAGGAAGAACGGAAAATCTGATGAGAAAGGAGGTTTCGGTGATGAGGAGCTGAGTAGGGTCGAGACGAAACAAAAGGAGGCAATGAAGGAAGGTGCTGGAGGGTGCGACAATTGGGAGAGGCGATCATGTCTCAGTTGTCAGTGTAGGGGAGATGAGGAAGTGGAGGCGGCATCTACAGTGGTGATGATTAAAGCAACTTTTCCTTCCAATTGTGTTATCGTACCAACCGATGGGGTTGTGCATTGCTGTAATTGTTGCATGTTTGGTGTGGTGTGGTGTGGTGTTGTGTGGTGTGGTGTGGTGTGGTGGTAGTGTATCCAAAGTGTCGATTGCGTGATTGTCAGGAGGGAAGACATGGAGGCGAATGAAACAAATGTCTCCTTTGTTCTCAGGTGGCAGTGTTGGAGGCGGCAACTACTGCGGTGATGGTGCTGGTGGTGGTGGTGATGGTGGAGGAGGAGGAGGAGGCGAGTGCTAACACGCAGTTGGTGAGATGAAAGGCGGGTTAATGAAATGTCAGATGTGAATCACCTCGTGATGGCAGGTGGCTGTGTGGACAGAAGGACGTTGGGGAGAGGGGATGGGGGATGGGGGAGGAGGGAGGAGGGAGTGGGCATGATGGCTATGAGGTGTGGACGTGTGGATGGAGGATGGTAATTTGTACTGACGCATTCCACTGCAAGTGAGGAAGCACGTAATTTGTGTTGGTGAATTGAACTGGAGGCAAGACGAGGGCGAAGGTGGTGGTGGTGGTGGTGGTGGTGTAATGAATGAGCAGGACTGAAGACTTGTCGTTGGTGGAAGTGGTGGACTACATCGCATCGTCCAGTGACACGTCCCCAAGAAGAGGGTGATAGGGATGAGGATGGGGTGATGAGAGCTGAAGTGATGGCAATCGCA